GGGAGGGGAGGGGTGGGGGGGGGGGGGGGGGGGGGGCAGGAAGGAGTAAGCGCAAATTTCAGGGTTGACGCTATTTAGGGGCTCGCTATTCCCAGGGTTCACTGCATAACGCTGTACCGGCGGCGAATTGTTGGGTGTGTCGACACCATGTCATGACACATGTATTCTCCATTCCAAATTAACACCACACTAAGTCTATGCGATTGACTTGATTAGTTTGTTTTTCCCGTAACTCTTAGATATTTTTGTAAAAAATGTTATAGAAATCAAAAGAAAATTGAAAGATATAAGAACAAGGCAATCACCATAAGCGTAATACAAAATCTGAATTCTCACTGGCCGGTCTTTACAAGTCCCAATACTCTGTATTTTATGAATTGGGATATGGAATATTAACCATATCAATTATCTCTCATCGGTGGGCGACACAGTCATAATGAAGTCCATTACACCTGAACTAGCCCATAACAGAGCAGTTTTTAGGCATAGGCCAGCTAGGCCACCGGCCTTGGGCCCCACTGCCAAGGGGGCCTGGCATGCGCTTTTTATCGTTAGCTTAAAGCTTGCAGGTCCATATATTTCAGAAGTACAAAAACATTTCATGGAGGTGATGAGCCTGGGTTATACGACATCGCCGAAATTCGTTATGTCGTTGGGAAAAAGCGGATTTCACAAAATTATCTCTGATGTCGGGAAAATGAAGTCGGTAGGCTGCTATCGGGCAAAGAGATGGTGTCGGAAATGTTACACGTCAACGAAGTGTTGTCTAGAGAAAACATATCGGGGAAAGAATGTGCCGGGCAGACAGTGTCCAGGAAAGGAGGTCGTGGGAAATAAATCTCTCGTCTGATGTCCATTTTGCAACTTCACAATTCTGTTTTCTTCTCAGCTCCAAGCCCCTCCCCCCCCCTGCCTACGCTCCTTGCGTAGGGCCCCCAAAATGCTAAGAACGGCTCTGCTCATAACACTTAAGTCTCTGTTTTGTGTAAACACGTACATAATACTAAAGCTAAATTCGCTTAAAGTTTTAATTCATGTTTTTTGTCTTCAGGAATGTGCAAAGGGCGGAGTCAAACTTCAGCTTCAACTTGAAGAGATCCGCAGGTCAGACATGGTTGTTGTGGTACTGAGCCTGGACACCATGTCTAGGTAAGGTCGCATCTGGGGAGGGGGGGGGGGGGGCGTGGGGTATTCAATCTGTTCTGTTAAAATTGAAGAATACTATTTGGGGGGTGAAAGCTTTGAGTCTGAGATCAAAAAATTATGTGGTACTGAGCCTGGACACCATGTCTAGGTAAGGTCGCATCTGGGGAGGGGGGGGGGGGGTCAGGGAGTATTCAATCTGTTCTGTTAAAATTGAAGAATACTATTTGGTGGGTGAAAGCTTTGAGTCTGAGATCAAAAAATTAACGAATGCGTCTGCCAAAATTATTCTTTGGCGAAATTTTTAAAAATCAAATCAAATTTAAAAATGAAGCATGATAAAAGTTAAACGCCATAAAGTAGCATGATGTGTCCAGTCATAAAGTAGCATGATGTGTCCAGTCATAAAGTAGCATGATGTGTCCAGTCATAAAGTAGCATGATGTGTCCAGTCATAAAGTAGCATGATTTGTCCAGTCATAAAGTAGCATGATGTGTCCAGTCATAAAGTAGCATGATGTGTCCAGTCATAAAGTAGCATGATGTGTCCAGTCATAAAGTAGCATGATGTGTCCAGTCATAAAGTAGCATGATGTGTCCAGTCATAAAGTAGCATGATGTGTCCAGTCATAAAGTAGCATGATGTGTCCAGTCATAAAGTAGCATGATGTGTCCAGTCATAAAGTAGCATGATGTCAGGTCAGTATTTCATCGTACTACACACCAGTCATAAAGTAGCATGATGTGTCCAGTCATAAAGTAGCATGATGTGTCCAGTCATAAAGTAGCATGATGTGTCCAGTCATAAAGTAGCATGATGTGTGCAGTCATAATGTAACATGATGTGTCCAGTCATAAAGTAGCATGATGTGTCCAGTCATAATGTAACATGATGTGTCCAGTCATAAAGTAGCATGATGTGTCCAGTCATAATGTAACATGATGTGTCCAGTCATAAAGTAGCATGATGTGTGCAGTCATAATGTAACATGATGTGTCCAGTCATAAAGTAACATGATGTGTCCAGTCATAAAGTAAAGTAAGATGACAAAATGTAGCTCTCAAAATTCATTTTTTAAACTCACATAACAGTTACAGATATATAATAAATATGTATCTCAGTCGATTATTGTATTTGTTTTTATTTATTTTATCTTTTTTACAATTTCTAATTTTCTTATAGGGAATTTTCTTATAGGGAATTCAAGGGTCTCCTGGATTTTATACCCAGTGTCAGAATAAAGGGACACAAGAGCAACAATTCTGTGCGTGTTATTACCACTGATGCTGCAGTCATAATACCGCGACCTGTCACGTGCTTCGAGACGTACTGTATGGAAGACGTCACGAAACTGAATGACGTCTCAACTGATGACGCCGTCATGGTTCCACAAAAGACTGACGCAATATATGAACCCAGACTAGAGTTCGGGGACGATGTTCATGCCACCATGGCATTGTTCTCCTTCCTTATTGGCAAAAATTGGCCGCTATAAAAGATAATGTTGAAAGAAAGATTTGCTGTTTTCTTTACAAAACAAATGGTTGATTCATAAAGCATTAACTACTGTTTTTTGGTTGAACTTTTAAAATCGTTTTTATACGTTGACGACATATTTGTAAAAATATATTGTGTCTGGGCATATATATATATATATATACTATAATATATATATATATTAAATATTAAAAAGTATGTTTAATATGCAAGTCTTAAGCATATTAAAGGGTTTTTAGTTATTTTTTTTTTAACTCTGAGACATGGCTTATACATAAAGTCTTATTTCTTGTTAATCGATGATAAATTAAATGTTATACTGATGTGTTGTTGACCTGGGTAAATTATTTATTTAAAATGGTCCAAAAAAAAATTATTTTAAACATTGAAAAATCAAAACACAAAACCAAGTCATGATTACAAATATGAATAATATTTGCAATGATAACACAATTTTAACATTAGGATAAATAAAATGTCATGTCACCATCATATTGTTACCGTTAGTCAAAAGCTAGGTTCAGAATGGTACATGTCCTGTTGATTCTTGTTTGTCTGCTGATGCAGGCTTCCTGCCGAAACGTCCATCTTATTGTCCTAGTTTGTTTATTTTATATTTTTTTTGCTCGCTTTTCCAGTGAATGGGACGGGGTGGGGGCTGAACTGTCGGTCAAATGCAACCAAATTAAAGTATTCAATGGGTAAAAGGCGAAGATGGTAATTTCATGATAGAAAACTAAGTTCAGGTTTACGCTAAAATGTATCCCTGCCTTTTTGAATGAGTCGAGAACATTTTTGAGGACCGTCTCAAGCCACTCGCTAAACCCCTCACGGGCCCACACCCCACTTTCGCTCGAATTCTCCTGCAGTTCCCGTGCTCCCAGTGACAGTCCCGACACCCTTGTATTAAAAAAGCTCTGAATTTATAAATTGGCACTATGTATATCTATTCCAATTCCATTCTTTTAAATTGCGGGGAGAGGCGCCGATTTTATTCTAACTCAAAGTGGCTGATATGACCTAATAATATTTTTTTTATTTTTTTGACTGGGCTCCAACAGGTCAACTTCTTAGGGGCCATGGGCAGCGGGTGAGGGGGGGTCTTAATCCGGCACTAGGGGCCATGGGCAGCGGGTGGGGGGGGGGGGGTCTTAATCCGGCACTGGGGGCCACGGACAGGGGGGGGGGGGGGGGTTTAATCCGGCACCGTCTAAAACGAACAACTTT